ACACCCCCCCCCACCCCCTGCCATCATGATTTCAGCTCGCACGGCGCAGCGGCGGATCAAAGCCGTGCCGGGGCTCCGGAGGGAAGAGCCGTCCGGCCCTGCGCCGAGTCTCCCCGCGGGGCGGGGGGCGGGGGCGCAAAGGGGTGTGAGGGAAGGAAGCGCCAGCGCGGGGAGAGGAGGATGTTGCTATGCGTGTTGCCCCTACCAGGTTTGGTGTGATTTTGATCTCTTTCTCTCTCTCGTGGGGTCTCACTCCCTTGTGAAACTGCATGGATCAAGAAATGATGATGTGTGTGTGTGGGGGGGGAATCAATGGCTGATTCTGCTGCTTGATAAAGAGCCTCTCCTTCTCTAAGGATGGAGCAGAGCTGTGTATTATTTTAAACTCAGCCTCTGGATATGATGCGTGTTCTGCAGGGTTTGCCATGGCTTGGTATGCCCATCCTCCCACCCCCAATAATGGTGCGGAGTGTGTGCGCGCGCGCGCGCGTGTGTGAGTGTGATTGCCACCTCGTGCCCTCTGCGGGGTGGAGGGTGTGCTGCCCACCCCCCTCGAGATACCTGGGCGCGGGGAGCATGGCGCTGCGCCCTCCAGGCACTTCGCTGTCCCGGGGTCGAGGACGTTTTTGAGGGGAGCTGCGAGGAAGAAGCATGATCATGGGTCTTACTCTCTTGGGGCCGGGGCAAATTCTGCACGGCAGTATCCGGGCCCCCGGGGAGAGGCGGGGAGCTGAGCTAGCCTGTGTCAGCGAGATGCTAGTTATAGTTAGCAGTGGGGAGAGTGGGGATGCACATCTCACTGCAGGAACAAGATCCCCTCCTCCCCGGTTTAGTGCAAGTTAGAGGTGACCTGCAAAGGGAAACTGACCGGCTGCGTGTCTCGTCCCTTAGTTGTGCTCCGCGAAGGCCTGAAGTGTTGTCCGTGCGTGTGCGTGTGCAGGGGAAGCACTGGAGTCACACAGTACATCGCACGATATATTGCTTCCTGTGTGTGTGTGCGCGTGTGTGTATAGATCTAGTGTTTGGCTAAGATCATAAGGTGCATATGTACCCTGCCTTTCTGACTTCAGATTAACACGGCTAACTGCCTGTCTCTCTGTGCAGTATATGAAGTATATAGAAACATAGTGTGTGCGTGTGTGTACGCACAGTATATACACAGTAGATCCAAAGTCAGGTCTTCAACCCCCTCTGCCCCCAGAACTAAAGAACTAGGCAACTCGGGGCAGGCAGATGTGTGTGTGCGCGTGCACACACACGCCGTATATACACAGTATATGCAACGTCAGATTTCCATCCCTCGCTAAGAGCTAGGCGACTCAGACGGTGTGTACACACCGTACATACACAGTATATGCAACATCAGATCTGCAGCCCTCGCTAAGAACTAAGCAGCTCAGCGCTGTGTGTGTGTATACACACACCGTATATGCAACGTGAGGTCTCCCACCCCCGCCACGAACTTAAGAAGCAGGCGGCTGGGCTGAGGGCAGGGCGGCAGGCTGCGGTTGTTGCCGAGCCGAGCACGGAGCTGGCGGACACTGCGGGCTCTTTGGTTTTGCGCTTGACTTTGACACGGCTACACCTCAGCAGGCTGCGCGTGCCCTTCCCCGCCACGGGCCCAGGGGCAGACCGGAGCCCCGCGGGCGCCACACAGCCCGGAAGGAGGGGAAATAAAGACATGAACAGAAATGTTTTTTTTCTCCTCCGATCACCTTGAAGGAGCGGGCGGGGGGCCTGCAGCGTACCCCCAGCACACAGCGCTCCGCCCTCCCCACCTCACCCAGGCATTGCTTCCTCTCCCTCCCTGTGCCCCGAGCCCGGCGCTCCGGGCATGTCCCTCCGACTAATCCCTTCCTCCCCTTCGTCCTCTGCACCCGAATGTGCTCTGAAACCGGGAACACCAGGCAGGGTTTTCCCGCCCACTTCTCCCCACTATTCTGCAGTCATCGCGGGGAGTGCGCATGCCCAGAACCCGAAGGCAAGGGAGGGGGGCTGCTGGGAAATGTAGTCCCGGCAGATGCCATGTTCTCCCCGCCCCTCTGGAGTGCGCATGCGTAGTACACCCCCTCCCCGCAACGCGTCGCGGTATCCCAGGCATAATTGTCATTGCTTTCCCCCGCTTCTGGGCGCCGATTGGCTTGGAGGGCCGGGGGGCGGAATATCTGCCGCGACGCGCGTCCCGATTGGCTGTCATTGCAGCGGCGGAGGAGGGATGCGGCTCCCTGTGTTGGGGGATGGAGGTTGGCTTCGCCGCTCCGTTAAAGGGAGCCCCCGCTGCAAACCGGGTGGCGCATGAGTCACACGCACAAGTGAACACGCACAAACACACACCCTTGTGCCACGCACCGCCCTTAGCCCCTCCCGCCCCAAAACTTTCCCCCTCAGCCCAGCGTGAGCAGGGAGGGGTAATAAATCTGTAGGGGAGGGGGGAAGGAAGCGAGAGAGTATGTGTGCGCGAACGTCCACCCGCCCCTGTAGCGGGGAGGGGTGCGCATGCGCGGTGCGTGGCGGGGCTGAATGTTTCCCAAGTGTTTGAAACTGGTATTTGGGTTTTCCACGTTGGATCAAGTGCGGCGCACGGAGCGGGGAGCAGCGGCCACACCGAGGAGGAGGAGAAGGACGGGGAGGAGGAGGAGCAGGAGCAGGCGCCGGCAAACAGAGGGGTTCGCTTTTGCCGCTGTTGCCTCACACTTTGCAGACCAGATTTTGTTTCCAGATTGTTTCGGAGGAGCTGGTGTGAGCGGCACACACACACACACACACCTCCCTCCGATTGTTCCTACCCCCGTCCTCCGTGAGGTCCCCGCCACGACAGCCATTCAATCAGCTGCTGCTGCTGGCTGGAGCGGTGTGACTTGCGGAGGGTGTGTGTGTACCTCTGTGTTTTCACCGGAGAGGAGTCCGATGTAGCTGCTCCCGGTGCTCAGGAGGAGGTGGGGGGGAGCTGCGAAGGACCGATCCGGGCACCGAGCAGCCTTTGCAAGCCTAGGCTGGGCGGCAGGCAGGAGACGACCCCCGCTGCCGCTGCTGCTGCTGCTGCTGCGCCCGTGGAGGGGGCTCGGATCCCTCTGTTGCCTGCCTCGTTTTCTCCACTCACCGGATGAAAATGTTGAGTCCCGCTAACGGAGACCAGCTGCAGCTCGTGAACTATGTGGAGGATTATTTGGACTCCATCGAGTCCCTGCCCTTCGATCTGCAGAGAAACGTCTCCCTGATGAGGGAGATTGACGCCAAATATCAAGGTAAAGTGCTTGCTTTTCTGTGTGTGTGTGTGTGTGTGTGTGTGTGTGTGTGTTGGGGTGGGGAGGTAAGGAGGTTTGTCTTTTATCCTTCCCTTCCCTGAAAGCTGCCCCCCTCCCCCTTGTACCTCTCAAGGATGGTAGTTTTATTTCGGGGGAGGAGGGACGAGAGCTGCTCGGCTGAGGGGGGCTGATCCGCAGCGCCAGCTCTTGTCATGGGGCGGAACAAAAGGTCTCCGCTCCTCTTCCGAAGCAAGGACTCTCGCTTTTCTTTTTTCCCCCCTTGTTTCTTCTTGCCTGGGCAGGGGGGAGTTGGCCGAGGCGGCGGCGGCGCCCGGGGCAGGGGAGGGGGCACAAAGGAGGGCTCTTCCCGGGCGCCCCACGTTTTGCTGGGGACGGAGGAAAGTGCTGGGTGGAAGAAGAGAAGGGGGGGAGATTACGGCGCAACATTTAGGAATGTACAGTATTCATGATGGCTGTAGTAGGGGAGAGAGAGGCTGCGAGCGAGAGAGGAAGGGGGGGGGGGGGACCAGGGGGGAGGCGGGGGGCCGGGGGGGGGGGGG